AGTCCAGTGTCGCCGTCAATTGTACTGAAAGAATGTATGAACTGGAGGCGAGTGTCGCCGTCAATCTGACAGCGAGAATCGTACCACAAATCGTGCAAACAGACTGAGTGATTCTGGGTCTAGCTTTGCTTCAGGGACTGCTTGACGTTTGTAAGCGCTCCAAGCTCCATCGGAAAATGTTGACTTGCTAAATAAGAACATCAGGCATTAAATCATGCCTCCTAAATAAGGCAGAAATGATTAGTGTCTTGTTGGTAAATCATACTACGCATCAGGGAACATGAATGCTTCAGGTTATTTCGGTCAAAATTATCAATAGGTTAATCAGTATTATTATAATCATTTCAAGTTTTAAATCTATAGAAGTGTAACAATTGAAATGAAAAACTATTTCGGTAAATGGAAATTTGTGATAACAATTTTGAATTTCTTGTCACTCACTATTTCGGAAGTGGGTTTTCTGAATATAATTATATTAGATAAATTTTTTGCTCAAAATACTACAAAAATGATTACTTAGGCAATAAAGATGCAACTCAAGCTCAAATTAAGTCAATTATCTACAAGTGAAGTGGCCTATTACCTATCTATCATATCTTCTCAACTTATGCATCTCTTCAGCCCTTTGTCCTATGGACAAAGGGTTTGATGAAGGCTGTTACCTTCATCAAATACGCGCAAAGTGTGCGAGACAATGACCTTTAAATGATTCTTCATAATTTGAATGCAATTTGAGCCTATATTTATAGTGAAACTTGGAAGAGATTGAAACATTAAATTATAGTAAATAATAAACATTTTAAGCAATAAAATCATCATTATTTTCTACAGCTTTGATACATATAAGTAACTATAAATAGTTACAATAAAATTTATTTGGTTGTCATTCTATAACAATATCAAATATTTGTCAAGATAACGAACATCATATAGCCGCTGATCGAATCATGAGTGCTCGACCGACGTTGTAACGGCCCGTAATTTCAATAGAGTTTGTTAACTGTTGCAATGGTGCCAACCTTGTTTATCAATCAAGTCTGGCGTCAAATTAGAGAGCTGGAGCCCCGCTATGATCGATTAGAGTGACATAAATATAAGTAATGCTGAGTTTGTCGTTGGCAAGGAGCATGCAAGAGAACCGACGCCCTGCCATTCATTCTGGGCGCCTCACATGGCAAGGGTTTGGGGTTGGAGGCCGCGGCCCAGCTTTGTCTGGCTGCTACATCTCGAAACTAATGAAAGAATATTTGTGAGCACGTGACTTTGTCATTAAATCACTAAATATTCGAGGCTGTTATTGCAGCCTTTGGTAAGCTGAAGGGAATATGTATCGAAATCGAACATGAAATCGGATAAAATGAATCAAATAAATATATTGGTAATTAATGATTTTGTGTAATTCAAAATGTTGTTATGCAATGTTGAACTTGAATTGTTTTGTGATGTATTCTAGTTTGAAACATGTATTATGTACTATATCATGTGAACATTTTATGGTTTATCGTTTTTAGTGGCTTGCGTGTGATACTTCGTTATTTTAAAAGATGCTACTTAACAGTTATGGTTTGGGCTAAGTTAGCTATGTTACACCATTTTTTTACAAACCATCTCCTCAACAGATGTGCTTGGGTTGAGTCATCTGTGAAAAACTGTAGTTTGATTAAGGATTAGCTGGACACGTGTTCCAGTAGTGACTGACATCTTCGAAATTTTTTTATGATTTATAACAGTAATAAGTAATTTTTCTGCATGCAATACCCAGCCACATTCAACGTACAAACATTAGACAATCATTGTACAGATTAATTACCACGTCAGTATTCCAGATGTGTTGTTTGGTCATGAGATCCCATTGATTTTTAAGAGCGAATGTTTTTCTGTCACAATATGATAAAACGTTTTAATTGCATTTATATGTATTTTTTCAATTAGGTTTTGGAGACTAAAATCAAATAACAGTCATAAAACTATGTTTTGTACTTTTGTGCCTTTCGAATAAAAAATTATCAACGTCTTTATGTATTCAACTCTCTTGTATGAAAGATAGGTATAAACTCAATGCTTCGTACGCGTTGTCTTGCGGAGCAGAAAAATCACGCAGAAAATTAAAAGTATAAAGTAAATATTAAAATTCTCGGGATTGAATTATTTAATTTTTAAGCTGCTGCAACCAAATGCATCTAAATTATGAGCATTTGGTTGCAGCACCTTCACGTGGCGGCCGGACGACATTGCTCATATCAGTCCATTACTCTGTCTGTGCGACACTGAAGAAGTAGGCGTTTATTCAGCCATGACCACAGCGTCTCGCCTCCAGTTGCATCGTAAAGCAACACAAATTTATTACCTCGCACTTTTAATCTTTGCCGGACCTTCTTGCACAGATTAACGCCAGAAAAAATCCACAAACTTTGAACACTACGAGACCACAATAAGCGTGACGACATCAACTGCAGTTCTCAAGAATTGAGTGCGCCGGAGTGAGCGGCAAGCAGCTTGCATTCTCTTCAACACATTTGTTAGGCGAGAAAAACCCAAGAAATGTTTTAGCTGGCAAAAGATTCCACAAGAAAAATATTTTTGATTTCATGACCCCCCCGTCGTTAGTGGAAACAACGAGCAATGTGCTTCGAGAACAAAAATCAAGAAAAGCTAATGATATTTTCAAAAGGAATGTACAGAAAGATCATTTTGATTTTCAAATTGGTTTTACCTCGCGCCATATTCAACTGAAAGAAGCAACTTTAATCAAGGATTTCGTAATTTGAAAATGTATTTTAACTTGGATAAAAGAATTACAACTCGTAAATTGACTTCAACGTTGTGACTTATGGACAAAGATAGCTGCTTTGCGTTGATAAATTTAACGCGCACCAGTGGATAGAAATGTTCTTAAGTTTGTCTGAAGGCTAACTTTACTTTATATTAGTCCCAATATTATGACGTCGAGAAATTAAGATTCAAAACTTTAACTTGGAAAAACAAAAACGTTCACAATTTGAGTTCACTTTCAATAATATATATGGGGGAAATGATGCTTTACGATTTAAGATTATTTTCAATATTCAATATGGTAAGAAATGAGAAAGTTCCATTATTTGACATGATTTCTGTATACCACAACAACAGAGTCTCCAAATGCATCGACCTAGCCGGTGAGAGGTAGATTTTTTATCGGCCCTGATTATCGAGTCCTTAAGTTTCAATAGGGGGTAATTAGGAGCCAGTAATTTAGGTGAGTTCGGACACCCTGTAATCGCAGGTGTCGGCCGAACACTTATGGTCGCCACCGCTTGTGTACCTACGAGATATGCACGCGGGAAACTAATCTTACCTGGACAGGACTGACAGAAAGTAATATTCTTCACAAAAATATATCATTAATTCTTCAATCAAACATAATTCAAATATATTATACTGTATTCTCATTTATATTCATGACAGAAATGGTAATAAATGCAGTAAGATTTTGAACGTACTATAATGCAGATGTAGAACACGATGCAACACAAGATCCCCAATAACATTAAACACATACATAAAATTCAGATAAAAATACATTAATACAAGATGAATAAGAAAAATTTTTGACAAATATGATAAAAAGCTGTTAAAAGAGCACTTGTACGGGAAGAAATGTATAGTTTTATGTAGTCTATAAATTAATGACAGAAAAGTTTTTTTAACAGAAATTTTATTTTGCAAGTTTTTGCTCAGTTATACAACTAAGAATCAATGGGCAAAATTAGAAACCTGAACTACTAGCTGAGATCATATACGGTACCCTTGTACCTGAGGCCATCCAACAAAAGTCATTCCTCTGTATCTGAGGTCTTTATACTTAGGTCATGCCTTTGTACCTGAGGTCTTTATACTTAGATCATGCCTTTGTACCTGAGGTCTTTATACTTAGATCATGCCTTTGTACCTGAGGTCTTTATACTTAGATCATGCCTTTGTACCTGAGGTCTCCCTACTTAGATCATGCCTTTGTACCTGAGGTTTTTATACTTAAATCATGCCTTTGTACCTGAGGTCTTTCTACTTAGATCATGCCTTTGTACTTGAGGTCTTTATACTTAGATCATGCCGTTGTACCTGAGGTCTTTATTGTACCTGAGGTCTTTCTACTTAGATCATGCCTTTGTACTTGAGGTCTTCCTACTTAGATCATGCCTTTGTACCTGAGGTCTCTATACTTAGATCATGCCTTTGCACCTGTGGTCTTTATACTTATATCATGCCTTTGTACCTGAGGTCTTTATACCTAGATCATGCCGTTGTCCCTGAGGTCTTTATACCTAGATCATGCCGTTGTACCTGAGGTCTTTATACTTAGGTCATGCCGTTGTACCTGAAGTCTTTATACTTAGATTATGCCGTTGTACCTGAAGTCTTTATACTTAGATCATGCAGTTGTACCTGAGCTCTTTATACTTATAATCATGCAGTTGTACCTGAGCTCTTTATACTTAGATCATGCCTTAGATATAGTACCTGAGGTCATCCTACTTAGGTCATGCCTTAGTAGCTGAGACCCAAGATCATGCTTAAGGGTCAACAAAGAATTGTATGTTATCACAATTTTCCAGTATATTCATGACTACTGTCATGGTTAAGAGCATTATTGAGGATTTGCTTCGTTGGAGTTCGCTAAACGTCTTGCATTTCTCAATAACAATAAAAGAATTCTAAGGGAATTGAAAATTTTGAGCACAAGGAATTCGCCGTAAAATACGGCGATGCTTTCGGTCGTTGGGGTCTTTATCACAAAAACAAAGAATATTGAACATTTAAACAAATAATAAAACAGCAAGAATAACCATGAATAATCAATAAGTAATATAATCATCAGCGCCCACAAACACACTTGTTTCAACGATGCTACGCTGAACTGAAATCTCAACCAAACGAGCGGCTGATTTCCAATTTACCTTTCTCATCGATCGTAAGTTTTTTGTTTGAAATTAGTCATTGATGAAATAAGAGCGAGGACTTACCGTGCTCAGTGAGGACTTGGTGCAAGTGTGGTCTGTTGGACGTGAGTCCCAACAGGAAATAGTTCATGAGCAACATGTGAACTGCAACCATTTTGTTTGTGGTCATAGGTCGAGTCCGATAAAGAAAAGTTCATCTCTTATTTCTGAACAACTTTCCCATCAGATTATTTTTTCAAGTAATCTTTCCGTCCGTTTACGAACGCAATTAACAGTCAAGTTTATTCAACTGAGTTTATAAACTGGAAACAATTGAATAAACAACGCAAGATTGTGAATTACGGGACATAACTTCCGCACGCGATGACGATATATCTTCCGCTTGCAATTAGGCACAAAACTACCCTTTCTATTCTACTAAAAAAAGAAAGATTAAAAATATATTTATCGTTTCGTGGATATAAAGTGGAGCTTATAAGTTATTCAAATACCAATTATAAATCACTAGGTTCTTTGGCAAATCTTATTATTTGTATGTAATTTCATATATAATTTAAGTCACGGTTCTAAGAGTAAATCCTAAATGCTTTCATACGAAGCAAATTTCTGCAACTGAACTGCAAATAAAAAATCGCAAACAATTCAGCGTGGACTTTATTGCATCGCCTAATTTATTATATTAATCCTTCATTTATTTAACTTCTACAACATCCTTTACCTAAGCAACAAGCGTATTAGCGAGAGTGTGAGACTACAACCACTCAAGCAGCGTTAGTCAGGTTCTACAGCTGTCGAGTTAGGCACAACATCGTAACTCGGCTACTGCAACGAACTGCCGAGCAACAACCCCGGGCAAGCACCGTCACACGTACCTTACTTCTACTGCAATAATGCAATGCGTGCATAATTGTTTAACATCTTAGGCACTGGTGCATAATTATTCAACATCTTGCGCTCTTGTGCACAATTGTTTAACATCTTACGGTCGGGTCAGTCGGATGCGTAATTGTTTCCCATCTTACGTACGAGTGCATAATTGTTTCAAGATTTAGCAATTTGCCCTCAGCAAGTTGGAATACGTGCACAACTGTTCCATTCTGGATGAATGTCTTGAAGTTTCTTCACCATGGCTGCTTGGAGCTACGTAGCCGTAAATTTCGAAAATAAAGAATGAACTTCATTTTAAAATATGGCGAAGTTTGTCAAGACTATGACGAAAACAGGAATTACTATTTCGAGTGTTTTGTGACGGGTATAGATTGTTTATATGTATTTGCTTTTCATTTATTGTTTGCTTTCAGGTAACCTCTTGCATTGCAAATCCAATGAATTGGTCTCGTCATGGAAATATCGATTTTAAAACTTCATGCGGAGGGAAGATATATCCATATTAAGAATTCAGTGCAACTGACATCAGAATATCAATAAGAACATATTTTGTAAAGACTAAACTATAATAACCATTTGTTTTTTAAAGGGTTTCGGATCTTTCATGAAAAACACTGTGAAAAGTACATAATATTTTTGCCTTTAAAGTCCTTTTAGGATTTCACTGAAACATTTATAAGTTTTGAAACAGGTGAGAGAGGACGCGTGGCTAAAGCAGATGAGGAGAAGTTTGCACACATCCTCTTACCATGAAGTCGCTGTGGACACTAAACACAGGAAAGCAGTGTTGCCAGGTTTTTTCTTGACGAGAATACCAGATTGCCTAGCCCAAAATACCAGAAATATACCAGAAATTCTATTGTTCAAAAACAGACTAATACCTCCAAATTAATGAAGCTATTATAAGTCAAAAGCGTTGTTTAGAAAAAGAAAGTTATCTTATGTACTGTGCATTTATCTGGCTTGACGATAATTAGCCAAATTGAACACGTTATATTTTTCCCTCTCTTTGGAACATTTTGACACTTTTCTTTCCCTGTGTTTGATTACCTTGACACTGTTTCCGTTTTTTATCACAGTGTGGCATTTCTTCCCCTTCGCTCAACCTGAGGAAGTCACGGAAACAGGTCATCTTCCTCTTGCTTATTTTCGTACATGCTTGCATATTGCATTTATCTAACATTTCGGGTTTGATCACTTGTTGCGGCTGAGCAGATAGCTTTTGGTCCGAATAAGGGACTCCAGTACCTTAGTTGAAATTTTGTTTCGTTGCTTGTTTTACACAAAGGTGACTTGTGAAAACATTCGCTCCACGAATTCATTAGGGACAGGTCAAAGTAGGCAAGTGATGCAGTTGGCAGCCAGTTCCATGAATGGATGATGATTTTCAAGATCAGTGAAATGTTGGATATCACCCCAGAATTCAAGTGGCACTCCAATAAGTGGCACTCTAGAATTCAAAACCACCAAACAAAAATGGACGTCTCGGACGGACCTGCGGCCGGTCTCGCGGCCGCAGGACTCCAAACATAGAAAAAACCTAGCCAATCAACGAAAACCTCGCAGGTTAGGTCCAGTTAGGAACAAGTTCCATTAAAAACACAAAAAAAAACTAGAAAACCCATAAAAAACACTAAGAAAACCTTTCCGGCCGCGGGTCCAGCCGTAAATGTGTCCGAGACCTCAAAAATGGTGGAGCTTGCGTCACAGAGATAGGTTCGACAACCTCACTCATCCTAGGCTATATCATCACTGATCAGTAATCAATCAAGGATCATCACCCTCGTGCTTATATTGCAATAAGCACTTTTATTATTATTAAATGTTAACAATTAGATCAGAGTTATTTCATCAAGCGGTAAACTTGCGGTTCCAAAAATGGCGAGAAACCTCTAGTCGCGTCGCTCTGAAGGTAATCTATATAATCAACGCCTACGCTGGAGGAAGTTCAAACTTCAGAGGTGGAACTTAATGCAGTAAATTTGCAGCAAGTCAGAAGATACCAGAAAAATACCAGATTTAGGCAAATATACCAGACCTAAAATATTCATACCAGACACCTTCTGAAAATACCAGATTTGTGAAATCTGGTATAGAAATATACCATCTGGCAACGCTGCAGGAAAGGTGTACATCTCAGGTACAGACTCCTACAGACATCGGTCCGCTGAGGGATGCAGTCGGATGATTTTTATGTGTTGAACCGCTACTCGGTAAAGAACCCAGCAAGTACGGAGAAAGGCGGTACAAGAAAACACAGAACCGTCCTGATTGAATATGCGGAAAATGTGTAAGCTTTGTTCAGAAGCAGTCTTCAATAAAGATAATACTTTGCAGTCATAAGTGTTGTTATCAGAACATATACCGCAACATGTAAAAACACGCGAGGCTATATGTTCTAACAATACTCGTCAGCTGTTGTGTGAGTACTTACCTCTGACGGTGCAAGGCAACTCGACTACCAAAGCAGGTGGGCGCAAATCTCACCGTCGTCGCCTTGACGCCCAGTGCACATTACGCGCGGCGTAGGAAGCTCCCAACTCCCGAACAATAAACTCATGACTCATCACGCATCTAAACGGCCTGTGTCCTTACCAGACTTTGGCATCAATTACTCACCTCTTGATCTATGCCAACAGTTTCCGAATTGTTATAGTAATGCCTTCAACATCAGGTCTGGATTCTGGCTTGCAACCTGCGGTGGGCAAGATGCCTTAGAATATAAGTTCTGATCGGCCAACAGATTAATGCTTAATAAGTATTTAGTGCCTGGGACAGAGACGTGTTAAATATTTTTCTCATAAATAATGTAAAAAATAAATCCTATCACTAGCTCTACTAGAGTATTTTTATGGAAGAAAATTGTTTTAACTCGATTGAGAGTACTAAATACCAATAAAATAAAATGTTTTAATGATTTAATTTTCAGTTTTATGTACTTTTTTACAGATTTATTATGAGCGAAAGCTATCGCACTTCACAAAGGACTTTAAATTCGGTAACCGAGCTCTCATGCCCATTCATCACAATATTTACTTAAGCCAAATAGAAGGTCGATTGTCTTAATTGTAATATTCTATTACTGAAGATTGATGAGGCGTAACTTCTGCCAGCTCAGTGTCACTTGGCGTCTTCTTACCCGAATTTTACGTTATAACCGCGTTTCAAATTTAAAGAATTTTTGTCATAAACAAGACTACGTTATTCAAATGCTTTCAATTGAATTTGTTCAAAGATTAAAAAAACATATTGTACAAACACACTGATATATTGTGTAGCTTAAATAGTTCCAGTAAATACTGTATGCTTCATATATGGAAGTTATAATTTAAAGTCAATAAAAAGCCTTTACACATTAATTTACTTATTGTTGTTGTTTCATCTAGTATCAGAACTCGGAGTTTTTCTTGTGTCTTATTATTTGTTAATTCCGTTGTCCTGTTCCTCGAAGTTCCTTGCCGAGAACAGGGAGGTAAGTGTCGCCCTGCCATTAGTGGTCGCAGGGCCGTCATTAGAGGGGCCGTGTCACTTGTGAGTGTCGCGGCTACACAAGAAAAAAATCATCTCACAATCTCTCGTACATCACGATTTCCTGATTCATAAAAGGACTTCACTTGTTGTTTCACTAACTGCCTAAAAGATTGAAAGTCAGCTAAAGAAAATTTCATTCACGGCAATGTTACGTGAATTTCGTTGTTTTTATTTATCATTATTTCGTGATTTGATCTGACTCTCACAGGTGTAGATCAAAAACACTATTTGCGAAAAAAAAGTATATAGGTTGGGAATTCCTATCGAGGTCTTCTTATAGATTTATGATTAGCGTTCACGAATCACGTCAAGTTAGCAAGTAAACCGTTTAAGTATAGCATATACACTAGTTTTCTTTGAATAACTTAAATAGAGTATTTGGATCAAAGTAGCCACTGCATTAAATTTTGTTTCTTTCATCACATAGAAGAATTATCAAACTTTTATAATATATTTCGGACGCAAAGAGCTACGCTAAAAAATATTCCTAAATGCTTTAATGCATATATTTTGACCGGGATCAGACAGAGCGAAAGTATTCCGTATTTTAGTAAGTAAATAAAACGTCATTGAAGAAGTAAAAAATGTACATTCACTTAGTTTATTGAACTTAGTTAACCATCATTTAGTCCGGCACTGAGTCAAGATCCTGTCATTGGGGCTCCTATATTGATTTTGGGTAAAAGTTGCCAGCCTAAATTTATAACTCTACTCCAAGGAATTGAATTATGTGATGCAATTTGATTTAGTTCGCAATGAATGTTTAAGACCCAGTAGACCTTAATTGATGAACGTGAAATTTAAATTACCTGATTTTGGTTTATAGTGATCACTTAACCCTCTACCACCTGACAGAAGTAACCTGAGCACTATTGGCACACAAACCTATCCAAAAAGGATACGTTGCTAAGTGAGCGCAAAATGACTTACACTGATGGTTGCCGTCTCGTACGACAACTTTAAAAAATGTTCTCTGGTGCGCACAAACGTCCTCAGGTTGCTAAACTCAATAGTTTAATTATAATTTAATTTGAAAGTTATGTTCGCGGAGATTGACATGCGGTGGTAGAGGGTCAGAGTCTCCTGCGAGCCATCATCTTGACATTTTGGTTAATTTAATTGAAGGCCTTGACTTGTTATAAGTAACTGACTTGCTATGGTTCAATATATCCATGAGTCTATACATAGCAAATTGAATATGCTATCCAGCTCTTCAAAGCGTTTCCAGTATTAGAACACTAAGCGTATCCTGAGTGCGTAAACTTCATTGTAAACAAAATGTAGCAATCTAATAATATCAGGAATTCCCGCGGGCAAACAAGTCTACCCACAAAGCGAGTAATTTCTTTACCCCACAACTCTACATGAATATTAACGTAACTAATCAGAATAACTCTTTCAACGCAATCGTCAGCAACATTTCACAAGTGACAATTTTTTATTAAATTCCTTTCAGACACGGATGAGATGCCGAGGAGGAAGTTTCAGTCCGCGTTGGTAGGCTGATATGAGATGGGGATTTTGTTCCACGTTGTTCAAATTTTGTGGTGGCGTCATGGACTCAAGATCCGAGAATTTTTGTTTCTCGTTCATTTAAATCACTTGAAATAGCTAAATCTAAACCATGTCCAAGAAATGTTTTTAGCTCTAATGAAATACATACCAGATATTTTTTATCAAAATTTTTTCATAAACTTCAATTGTATCCTTGAATTTTCACATTTCATATTCGTGCAGATATGAAAAAACTATGGACCCTCTTAACGTGGTAATTTTCGTTTTCGTATCTTAACAGTGAATATTGGCATACAATTAACTACATTATTTTTGGATCAGTAGAATAATGCATTTTATTGCCAATTAATACTATTAAATGTGCGTTTATACTTATAACGATCTCCGCGACTCTGATAAGCTTCTCAATTGTTCAAACAGCTGAAAATTCGCTGTTTTACCAGCCACTGGCAATTAATGCAGAAGTTTTACGCGTAGCCTGCTTGGGATCCTCGACAATGTACGTGGATACTGATAAACTCGCTCCCCAGTCGCGAGGTAAAACCGGCCACTTAGATGTGGTTAGCTCTTAATGAAGTCTATAAGAATGGTATTCGTGCCAATTAACTTTTTAACCATCGAGTGAAACTCCTTTCACGTTGATGAAAGGTAAGTATACTACGGTTTAAAATGTTTCAGAATGAGTTTTTATGGAAGTCTGGAAATGTGGCTCAATCCAACATAAAAATTTCACATCACCTTCCAGATGCATTCGTTGGAGAAGAAACTGCATGAGAGCATCGAGGAACCCTCAGAGGTACGTCATGCTGTTCTGTTTAAGATTTATTTTGGGGCGCTTCAAACAAATAATTGAGAGATCACAAGCGTAAAGTTGTTAAATTATCCTTGTATGGAATAATGATTACAATTTGAAATGCTCAGTGTTGTGGCGATGTGCAGGAGTAATGTTCCTGCTTGCTTGGGAATGTGCATTAATCTAAAGATGAATCTGGAGAGAAGGTTGGCTCAAATGAAAAATGTTTTCTACTTACCTGAGATACGCTCAGGTAAGATACGCAATGCTCAGGTAAGCATTGACGACTTACGTCGTCAATGCTATTCGTACCTAGTGGTTTGGGGCTGAGAAGTCCTGTCAGTCACGAAAGGGTTCTGCGACACTTTTACTTCCTATGTAATTACATGTATTGTGTAGTAAGTGCATTTTTAATTGCGCAACGTAGAACAGATGCACAAGAAATTCGTCCATAGTTGTCCAAGGGTGAAAGTTTTGATATAAATATTAAGCATCTATCACATTGTATCCATGGTGATCGAAGTGTTTCCATTTCGCTGGTAGGGAAGTATGAACCACGGCAGTCATCCATCGGCCTTCTTGGTAGCAAGTATAGAGCCTTGGTGAAGTAACGAGGTTAGAAGAGACATTTTAGCCACATGGGGGATAGTTCATGACAACTTTGAAGCGAGTTGTGGATACCACCCAAATAACATAGAACAATCTTGCTTGACGATGCAGTCTGGACGATTATATATTACGGCCTGCAGGCGCCGAATTATTCTGGAATTGACCTTTCCAATTTCAAGTCTGTTCGCCAAGATTGAACAGCTTATGAGAGAAGTGAAATATTTCAGGAGCGGCGCGGCTATTTAAGTTTTAGGATGAAAAATGGGCGCTACAGTATTAGGTTGTGCGTGGGGATTCGTGTGAAACCGTTTAACATTCTGTGATATTTTGTCGGGCAGCGAGAGCCTGAGGTAATAGTTGAGGCTACATTTAGTGTGATGTAGCGCAGTGGTTCACGGTGTTGACGATATTTTCAAATAAAGTGTGTTGATGCTTCTTAGAAATCAATTTTTTTTCAGACGTCAATTTAACTGAGAACTCGCCAAAGGGACTTCTCGAGAATGGGGTGTACTTATCGTCATGACGACTTCAACTATAAGGGAAGGTGGCTTCGTGTGGCCAAGTGTGTGGGCTTCACAACGATGGCGGTTTACTGCAACAAAAGATACAGTAAGTTCCATGTATTTATTCAACCCTTGTCAGACTTTATCGGTAAAATGTATTGCTCTCGACACCGTATATTTTAATTTAGTAAAAGCATGCAGTCGGAGAGACTGAATTTTTTGTCATGAACAAAAAATTGACTAGACGAAGTTATGCAGGAATATAGGTTCAGTCTTAAATGCCTAGCAAATTACGGACCAGGTAATAAGTCCAGCAGCTATCTCGATCAATCGTCAGTTGTGGAAAGATCGGGTTCCAAAGGCCGGATCCCTTGTGAATCAAGTAACGAAAAATTCAAGAATCGGCTTCAGGCCATGGGCCTATTTTCTTCAATGCCGACACTTCTATTCTATTCTAAACACGAGGGAGTTAACTACGGTAACTCCCTTAGTTAAAATGTGATCAAATCAATTCATATCCTATGCCATTATACATCGACACACTTCCTATTTCGCAACGACATTCCTTCATAATTTTGAAAATTAGGGTCTATAAGATTGAAATTTGTCTCCAATATTACAACCACAACTGCCATGCTCGCGTGCTCGATCGACATCGTAAAATTTTAATGTGGATGTGAAATGTACCTATATTCTCGCGAAAAAATGAACAGTCATGACCGATTTCTTGAAAGTTAGTCGGAATTCCTTGTTGCGGGCGCAGTTTTAAACATCATGGCACGGCCTTTAATATTATTAAATTGGAATATTTCGCCGGAGCCTAACTTAGTTTTGATATGTTCCGTCGAATCATAGAACTCTGAACACTCGCTCGCCATTTTGGGTTCTAATGATTGCCGTAGATGTAGACTAGACCAAACTTCTTTGGACTGAATAATTCTTAAATTCATCTTAGAGTTAGGTGAAAGTTGATAGATAAGAATTAAGCGAAACCGAAGACTTCCTTTAACTGTTGAGCACCAAGACGACCGTAAAGTTCTGTTAGTTTTGGTAGCAAATTTTTTTTGCAGCTGTGATGAACTGTCCAGTATTCAAATGTTAATCATGGAAGGCGTGAATTGATAAGAAATAAAATTTCCAACCGTCTATGTCTGCGTCGATCATATTGAGAGACAATTGCAATGTGGACTGAAAAATTTCTATTTGCAGCAGCAAACATTGATCGGAATAAGGTTTCCAATTTTCCCCAGATTTTATCCTGCCTCTGCGGTTGCTGGTTCGGCAGGAGCGGCTCACTTTCTGTGTGCCTACAGCCAGCGAAGCGGACGCTAAACTTAGACTCTCCACTTTTGATATGCTGCTGCTGTATAATCACGTACAGGGGGGTTTGAGGTCAAAGATTTCACTCGAGCCGTGTTTCCCAGGAGCTCAACCGTTAGAATCTCATGAAAATTGGCACAGAGACGTACGCATATTTTTTCTACCAAACCTTCTTGTCGGATTTCCGAAATTCCCACTCCTTCCCCCCCAAAATCCCCAAAAAAGGGGAAAATTTGGTCAAAAAATTACCTANATATGTCAGGCTGTGTTCAGTTCGGTTAGGTTATATTAGGGTTTTTGGCTAGGTAAAACTAATGTAAGATTGTTTTAAACACTAATGATACACACAGGAAAAGGCCACAATTGGGGGATTGCTGTGTGTAGTAGGAAATGTGTGGCAAAAAGAAGAAGAAGAGAGAAAAATAAAAAAAAAATAAAAAAGTATAGCGGCTGATCTGGTTAGGTACTACACGTTCTACTGGAGCTCTCAGATAGGGGAGGCACTCTGTGACATATACCTCGCCTCGATTACGCCACCGGCCGTCGTTCCTGACCTCAGCGGTTGGAATGTACGAGTTTTTTAAATTCCGTCGAAAATCTCTGGCATGTTATAGCTCACCAATCATTTTTTATACAAATATATGATTTGGAATTTTAGTATGAGCATTTATTGCACTACCTTTTAATATAATTGATGATTTGAATGTCGTCGGTGCATGCTGGCGCTATAAAAAATAGCAGGTGTGAATTGCCTCTTGGAGACGAGTTGTTTCCAGCAAGTTCATTGTTGTCGCTGGATTCCAGAACAATCGGTTTCTGAAGAGCTGCGTCAAGTTGTTTCCTTCCCTAGATCAATTCCTTAATGTAACTAATTTTTTTTACTTGAATTAAACGAAAAGTCTGAGGATTAAAATCTAATTTCATTCAAAGCTCTTCTGCTGAAGACGAAATTAGATATACTGCTAAAGAGGCTCATCTCGGTTGTGTGTTCCAGCGATGAAATTCTTAAGGACGATGGCGCCAGTTCATTTCCCCCGCTATACAATAAGCTGTGAAATTTGAAATGTGGTGTCGCACGCTGAATAAAACGTCGAACAAATCACTAGTTTCGTGTAAAGATTATTTCGTATCGATTGGAGGCCGAAAATTATTTTTAGGCACAACACAGCCACATTCTACCACCAAATGGCGGCCACGGATGGCTAACACTTCTCTTAAGCCCCAAGCATGAAGCGATCAATTTCACTCGGCAGGAGTAGACCACCGCTGAACAAGTGTGTAGCGTGCGGCTACTAGAGCATATCGTTGCTATGTCATCTCGTCAAGCAGTAAAAATTTATATTCAAAGAACTGAATTTAAAAACGTTCATGATCTCGAAAATGTTCGCGCACCACTAACGGCGTGACTGATTTTTCATCGGTTAACTTCCTAATTTCAACACAGTAGAGGGAGAGGAGCAAAGTGACGCACACTATAATTACAAAGCGTCGGCAGGCAAGGTCGAAACCCGTTTAAAAATGAACCGTCGGGCCACATTTAAAGCGCAACAAGTGAAATAAATTGGGCTGTCTCTTGATAGGCCTAATTAAGTCTTTCTATCTAGACATAGGTATGCCTATTCATTATTATCAGCGAGGTAAAGTTCCGAACATAAATAACGAACTTTCTGCCTTTGCACATCAGCGGACAATCCTTGCGCAGTCTCCAAATGCCACACCAGTAGCGCGAATGGTCAACGGTCGCAAACCAAGTTAAGCAAGGGCCGAAACGTGTATGCACCAACTGGGTTTGTGTTCGCAAACGTTGCTCGGCCGTGTTGTTAAATGAGCTTTCGTTGTACAAAATCCAACTCGGAAGTCTGAACATGGAGAATGAAACCAGTTGTGGAACAAAACTTAAATTTATGCGCTTAATTAACCAAGTACGATAATATAGATTCAGACGAAGAATATGCTTGTAGCTACTTATCGTTTGAAAACCACAGCTCACAAATTTCTGCATACTATTTTGTTTTTGGTGAATATGTATATTCTGCCTTGGCGTGAAAAAAGCGACAAGAACGTTTGAAAGTCTAGAATCCAGGAGTTAGTAGTTCGAAATATAGGAAGATACTTTCACATTAAAGTGTCGACGAGAACATTCAATCAGATTGTTTATTAATAAATTTTACAATTATTTATTTAGCAGACTTTAAAACTTTTCTCTGCGTCACTTCCAAAAACAAGACATTTCTTTCACAGTTCCCTATGTTTTTGCCATACAATTCAAGATTTCAATAAACAATGAAAATTCTCCTTCATGTAACCTATATTTGCTTTCTTCCACTTCCATTACACACACCCTAACTGGATGAGCCTTTATCAGTATCTTCATGCTTCTTTTTCTTCTTCTTGTCGTCATCTTTAGAATCTGAGGACGAAGCACCGGTGTAGGAGTCAATTGCTTGCTTCACGACGTCACTGTTGGGGTTAACGCCAGGCAGTTTGTTAAGAACTCCCTCTAGGAAAGCAGCGTCCGCCATCACCGACGACAGGTCTTCGGTGCTACCACCACCTCCAGATGCGGCACTCGCTTTTTCGGGGGCTTTCGTGTCGATTTCCATTGGTTCTACAGGTAGAAATAAAAATCTTCATTTATTGAGTACTCAATAATTCTAATAACCCTGGTTAATTAGATGGAGCACGGTAAAAAGAGCAGAAAATACGCATGTAATTTTTCGAGTATTGGTAAAATAGTTGTATAATAAAAATTGTTTCTAATTCTACACTGAATGAAAGTTAGTAATAGATTTTAATTCACGCTTCTATGTTGAGCGCCGGCAAAAAAAATTGTCTTAATTATAGTTTGAGTACGACGGTGTTGAAGATTAATAAATATGACGTTAGTTAATACATCCTTGAAGCACACTGACCACAATCTTGCATGGAGATCTGCATGGCATAAGCGATCTGCTCTTCTTCGCTCATAGTGGCGAAGTCCGGAGCGGCCACAGGAACTGCTGCTGCAGAGCCTCCTGCAGCAGCAGCGGCCGCTGCAGCTGCTGCTCCTGCTTCCAAGGACATCTTGAGGGCCTGCTGTAGCATCTCCTCTTCGCTGGTGGCACCACCTGCAGATAAATGCATTTATTTATCCAAGTTAAAGTAAACTTAGGATACAAACAAACGTATAAGTTTTTAAACATTATGTATGTCGAAAGAATTATTAAGAGAATTTCTTGTGCTGCGTCAAGATTGAATGATCCTACCAGCAGCAGTTGCAGAGGCTGGCGCTGCTGCAACAGGGACAGCTGAGTCAGCTGAGGAGGACAGAGCAGCAGAAACAGCTGCTTCATCCCCAGCAGCGGGGGCTGGGGCGTCGCCTGTGGTGCGACGTTCCTCCTCTTGCTGTCGTTGCCGTTGCTCCTCCATTGAGACTCGCAGAGCCTGAAATGTTTGAATTTTAATTACTTTTTTTACAGTCAAGACGAAGATATGCTCTGATTACATGGGTGATGTGATATAGCTCATTTCTGTACAAGAACGTCTATTATCGTAGTTGATTCCTATTTGATCACGTAATGTCATAAAATTGAAAATAAAGAAATTACAAAAATAAGACTCAAAATAAGCCAGACTGCTGCAAAAAGCAGTGTAGAAATAATGACAGGCAACAGTAATGCTAGGATACATGTCTTGATGAAACACATGTGTATCATTTCAATTTCTTTAGAACTTTATTTTAAAATGCGCAATCTTTCTTTCGCTGCATCAGCATTGTCCAAACTGAGTACATAGAAAAGTGAAATTTGTAACCGGCTGCTTATGATATTTGTGCTACGATTCAAATTTTGACAGTAATGAAAACTTCACTATTAGATATGGTCGCTTGCATGTCTCGTCGCTAGCGTGCACAAGTGAGGCGATGAAGCAAGTGTAATAAATTCTACCTACAGAGAAAAATGAACCCTTCAGCAGAGACCTTCAGGTACTAGCATTGATCTCAGCGGTGGTTGCTCAAGAACGATGTTGATGATCACAAAATCCTAAAATCCATATGGAGCATAAAGGCACAAGTCCTAAAAACACCTTAAATAGTTGAACAGTTCTATAAATGTGACCACCGATCACAGGCAGGATAGATCAACGGGTGATAGATCAACTAACAGCTGCAATGTGACCACCATCACAGGGAGAATAGATCAACGGGAATCATATTGTGACTTACGAGAGCCAATTCAGGGTCTTCATTTGGATCAACTCCAAACTCAAAAGCTGAGCCGCTGGCAAACTGGGAGGCAGCCCCAGGACCGCCGTCCTCGCTCTGTGAGGGAAATAAATTATGGACAAAAATTATGAAGAATAGAAAAAGGTTTCACATAAAGAACTATATAGGATATAATGATATAGACAATTATGGTAACTTTTTGAAAAATACCTCCACAAGAGAATTAGAAAAATTACTGAAAAAAATTTGTTCCTTTTAAAAAATACCGTAAAATACACCTCCACAAGAGAATTAGTAAAAAAAGCCATAATGCTTCACTGAAATCTCAAAGGGCAACTAAGACCACACTTGAAACAGCACTGGGGACTGACCGCCATAACAGGAGAGGTGAGAAGCGCATCAGCAAGATGAGCACAAGGAGCAGGCACGGTGACGAGGTGAGACGATGTACTGTCCTTGCCATTGACGGTGCTAATTAGCAGCTCGAGCATCTTTGTATTCACGTCAGTCTCGCCGAAGTTGACGATGTTTAAGATGACGGACTCTTTCTTCAGCTTCTTGCCTACACGCACAATTTCCTTCTCGTCTGCTGACAATGGGCTGCCAACAAACGCGACCACGTGCATGCGGTGAGCCCTGCTGCCACGGTGCTTCAGAGCCAACTGATGAAAGATGACAACTCAAATGATGGCAAACAGAAGCGAGTTTCTCTTCACCAACTTCTGATGTAGCAGTCAGATTAGTGTATTAGTCAAGAATTCAGGGCGCTATATAAACCTTGCAGAACAAATTTGATCAAAGTATGAAAGTGGTGGCCATGAATACCACAAAAAGCAGTGAATATTAATTGCTAGGATTTATGAAAAGGAAACAATTTAGAGCAGATTGAAAATATACAAAATTTTCTCAGGTAAATGAATTTGAGAGAATTTTAAATGAATCTTGATAATTTATTTCCCTGAACTGTTGCTATGATTTCAGTGTATATATACATATTAATTTATAATAGTTTTTGACAATAGTAGAATACATATAAATCTAACAAATGGTAAGATCTGTGCTGGAAATTTTGAATTTGGTCATATTGTTTGAGTGACTACAAAAATTCCAAACACAACACTGTCAAGAAACCATAATACTTCATAGGTTAAATGGATTGATAGTGAATCAGACACAGCAAGATCATTTATTATACCATACAAAATAAAATTCTTCCATTCTTACGTGAGCAATTCTGAGCCCAGTTAAGAGGTTCATTAGGCCACCAGGCTGCACGTGATGAAGGGATGTCAGGATCTTGCCCACATCACTCGTCAGGGTGGTCACTATCTCGGCATTGCTGTTCAACAAAGCGTAGATACTTTATTCCACCATTTTTTTCTATGAACTACCATTTCTTAGAGTGTAATTTTTATTTATTTAAAAAACATTCAAGTTTCTTGTAGTTATGCAGCCTTCTGGAATAGGTACCCAAAATTCCTTTAGGATCTGCATAGAGATCTAGGTATATACATGCTGGAACTGTTTTTTTTTGACGTTATGCATGTTACTACTCATAATACCAGATCTATGCAGTCCCAGAGAGCAACTACTATAAACAGCATTTGTTCTACAAAAATTATTAAGCACAAATACTTCTGATCTTCCACCAATCATTCCAGATTATGTATTACAGTGATTTCATGCAAAAAATTAATATTTATGGAGGAAAATCACCATTCAATACAATTCACTATTCAAAAATATTTTTATTTGTTACCTATACCCAGAAGATTGCATTGGTTCTTGTTATTTCATTGGTTATTTATACTCCACTGATACCCCAAACTTTCAGATAAGGTATTCAAAATACCAAATGGCAATTACAGTATAATTTATAATGGTATGAGAAATCTTGGGCTAGAGGCTTGGGGTCAAACAAACCACACAAAATTTGGCTGATAGAGCCTGGGCCTTGTGGAAAATTTTACTATGGACAATTCAAAGTAATTTTTGGTTAGAAGGTTGGAACTTATACGACTAGCTTAAATGATGGACAAATCACTATAAATGGAATTATTATAAACAGAGAAAAATCTTTAATACAAAATGTCTAATTCCCATATTTTTCAAATATTACTGCTGCACTTAGAACACTGCATTTATTACTTGGAAAGCGTTATGAGTCCAACATTATTCTCGGGATTGGAGCGAAGCTTGAAGCGGCAAATGGTGTTGACAGCATCTTGCTGTGCCTGCAGTCTTGTAGGCAGATAGTCACCATTGCGCATATACTCGCTGTTGTCTACACTGAAATATGAAACATTTTTTACAACACATGTATAACTCATCTTCTAAGCACACATGGTAATCATATATGATAAAAAAAGTACTTGACCATTCTATATAGATCTTCAAGTTTCCATATTGATCATATATCATACATCTAAACTGTATTTACCACCACATTATAAATGATTTAAAAGCATGTAAAATGTCAAGAAAATTCACCCATATCTTTATCAGAAAAATTTCTGCAAACCCACTTCATCATCAGTTCTTAATTTCTTAGAAAATTAATTAAAGCCAGTTAATTAAGAAGAAAAGCCAAAATTATGCCCATAACTAAAATTAAATATCAGATTAAAAGCTTAGAATAATAACAAAAAAAGCAGAACATAAAAACTATCAAATGACTATGTTGATGGATCAGTATAAAAACAGTCAAACAGCATTACAGCAACAATAAGTGAATAACATTTATCTTTACTTTATACTTTAGTGGCAACTGAAAGTACCTACTGAACACATGATAATTCAGTAAGACTGCTCCGACATAACTGCAACTATGAGATCTTCAACAAAACGTTTTGGGTTGACTCATTATCATTATGTCCTGTAGGATATTTTGGCAGGAGCATTTAAGTATTGTGTAAACTAAAAATTCTACAAAATGACATGTTTGCGGAATGCAAACCAGGATTTTTTTCAATCAAACAAAAATACATGACATTAGAGCCGTGAGATTTTGTACCCACTGAAATTATATGATATTAGAACCACAATATTTCAGAAAAAAAAAAATGTAACTCAGTACTCACTGCAAAGTGAGTGACAGAGAGCACATTTTCTCATCAACAAAAACTTGAGGTCACGGACGGACAGACAGACGGACATGGCAAGCACAATAGTGCATTTTTTCCATAAATGAGAAAATGCGCTAAAAAGAGGACTTTTCCAGACTTGCATACCCACCTGCAGTCAAAGTCTCAACCAAAAAGTTTTATTTTAATTAGAATAAAGAACCTACAACAAGACTTACAAGAGCTTTCTAGAGGTGCTAAAATCAATTAAATTGGCTCGTAGGAAACCTTGAAATAATAGTTAAAAAAAAATTCACAAATTTCTTCATTTCTGAGATGTAGGCCTATACAAAAATGTTCTAAATTTCTTTTTTTTGCATATATATCATATATAGGTAATTTTCATTAGGATCAAATTATTTTTTTTTTGCGCAGTGTGCACAATGATTCATGTTATCAAAGCTTTGACCTTTTTAGACTCATCCTTAACCCTTTACCGCCAAACCGGACTTTCAAGTTGCTTTTAAAAAAACACTGGTTTTCTAATAATTTCGCGTTTTCTTTCATTTTTCAAAAAATTCACACGAACATAAAAAGTCTTAGATTTGTCTTTTACATATGTGTACTAAGTTTCAAAGTGATCAGTCTGTAAATAACCAAAATAAAATTTCCGATTTCCAATTTCTTGTGGAAATTTTATCACTTGGTACACATATGTAAAAGATAAATCTAAGACTTTTTTGTTTGTGTGAATTTAAAAAAAATTGAAAGGAAATGTGAAATTCTTAGAAAACAGCCAAAAAGAGGGTACAGTAGAAATCTATCTCCTCCTAGGATTTTCAAGCTACAACATCAAGATGCACATCACTCAATGCGTAAGGAGCATACCTATTGATTGGTCCTTGCTGTTTTTTGAAATTCTAATTTTTGTGGGTGGGGTGGGCATTTTCTGAAAAAATTGTAATTCCCCGCCCCCCCACCCTTTTGAATTCCCCCTCCCTTTTTTCAAAATATTTTCAAAACTATAATGAAATTGAAAAAAAGCTACAACCAATCTCTAGATCTTTTATTTGCAAATCAAACGGTATATTGCTCATTGCTGTTGCTTATAAACTCTAGGAGGAGATAGGTTTGCAGTGACAATAAGTGTGAATGTTCAGCAGAGCTTGGCAATGTCCCGAGCGCCTCAGAATAGGCATTCAAGGTGGCATGGATACAAGACTAGTTATTACCCAGCTGAAATTCAGTCAAGGATGGTGGGAACGACTGCATGAGCACCATCCCACATGACAGCAGCCGGGTAACTAAAGATCAGCATCTTCAGGTTGTCTATTCATGTGCCCGGCTGGTAATTTTTGCTTATCTCAAATGTGAAACAACTCCCTCATCCCTAAACCTTTCATGAACTGTTGTCAATGCATAAATCAACATACAGAGATGATTTTGGTACCGTTGGATAGGTCAGAATGTTAGCTTTAAGGCAAGACTAAAAACTGGAAAAGTGAAATTTGTGATTTTTGACCAAGAATTTCGGGTGGTAAAGAGTTAAGTCCTAAAGTAGACCAGTAAAGTATCATGAATACCACTCTGCACTCATACCAGCACAGCATTGTCATAGCCTCATAGGCCTATAAAAAAATTTGTTTAAATCTTTAATAAATTAGGAAATTAAAAATTGAACTGATTATAAAAAATCTGTGGTTTGAAACTGATACACATACCTAGAAATGGAAATGGTAAGAGTTTCTGTGAAAAACATGAAGTCCCCTCCTCTGGTCCTCACGTTTTTTGATTGTTGACTGCAAATAGTGGGTGTGGGTGTAAATAGGGCATAGTGGCAAAGCAGAGAGTACCTATTTAGAGTTAGACTGTCCCTCAAGTTCATTTTTGAGTCCTATAGGTAGACCAGTTAAGTATCATGGATACCAGCATTATCTTACATAAGAAATTGGTTCAAGTCTTGAGTAAATGAGGAAATTAAAAATGAATTGATTCTAAAAAAAACTCTGGTTTGTCACTATGAAATAGGGTAAATGCGGTATATTCCGACACATTAAGGACGCATCGAGAAATGAAAAACTATAAAAAAAAACTGTATGCATTACTCGAGTTCTGTTTGCTTTACGTGACTCTCAAAACACTGCACTATGCACCAGCAATGATGAAACATTACAAAGTGTTGCCATATTTATTTAAAAGCCTTCAGAATGCAACCCTACCAAATCCCTATATTCCGACCCTGTGTGTGACTAAATTTGGCAGGTTGTGAGACAAATTCCGGCCGCGCTTCAAGTTCAAACTCTACTAATACATAATTCTGACATCCTTGTGTTGGAATTCTGATCGCTGTGTGAGCTGTATTGGAATACGACACGGCTTTGAATTAGAACACTATTGAATATTGAACACTACTTAACTAGGCTTATAATTAACAGCTATTAATCTTTTAATTAGGAAAATTTTAATTTTTGCATACAGCTTGGAACGAGCTGTGTGTGTCCAATTCAAGTTGTGTCGGAATTAGTTTTTATGTGTCTAAATCCGTTTCTAAGAAACGGATTAAGTTAAGAAGATGATTAAGTTAAGAAATGGTTTCTTAACTTAATCATCTATCAATTTATTTACCACTTGAAATCAGCAAATACAAGTATACTTAAAGGATTCCTAATATATTCACAGACGTATTTAAAAGTCTCGAACCATAATATTCTTTCTACACAAACAGTTTATCACTATTTGATAGAGCTTAGGGTGCAGAAGGTGGAAGCAGCATTGCCAATATATGGGTTTTTAAGCCCAAAGCATCGCCGACCTTTTTCAAAATGCGTCGCCAGGTAATTTTTAATGAAAAGCCATTTACGCTGAGCAATGAAAAACTATTTACATGCCACGAACTTATTTACAAGGTTGCATGCACGCGTTACCCCAAATAACTAATTTTACCCTAAAAACAGCCTGATTGTACTGCAAGTGTCAACTGATTACATGTGATGATGCAGTCTGATTGCTCTAATGTGACCGCAACTACATTTTTTTTACATTTTTTTGGTGGGAACTCATCGCAACCAATTTCCGGACAAGCTTTACTGCATCCTGATCCATCCAACGTACCAGAAACCTTACTTTGTTTCTAAATAGTTGGCCGAAGACTGACAAATATATTAAATGCAAGAATTACAATCTAAATGTGTCAGCAAGATCTTCTGAAGGTGTAAATTTTGCTACTGAAGTGTCGCCAAGATCTTGCAATATTCATTCACTCTCTGCACTCTCTGGGAACTCATTGTATCTGATTTTAGGGCAAGCTTCACTGCATCCTGATCCATCAAACATATTGGAAACCTTAATTTTTTTTAAATAGTTGGCCAAAGACTGACAAATATATTAAATGCAAGAATTTCAATCTAAATGTGTCAGCAAGATCTTCTGAAGGCGTAAATTTTGCTACTGAAGCATTGCCAAAGATCTTGCAATATTCATTCACTCTCTGCACCATGGGATAGAGCAAGGTCAACTATCAACTTTGACACATTTTTCGATGATCTCACTGGGTGGCATGCACTGTCTCTCTTTGGATCTCAACATTTTCCCGCCAGACGGCCCAAACCTAGTGTTTTTGCAATAGTTTGGTGCGCAAAGGTATGATGTCACTATTTCAACCATCAATGATCAACGAATGCGTGGAACTAAGACAAAGCTTAATATAAAGGAAAAACTAGAGAGGTGTTTGAATTACCCACGATGTTGCATAGTGGCAAACCAGAGATTTTTCAGAATCAGTTCATTTTTAGTTACCTCATTTACTCAAGATTTTAGGGTAAACGCGGTATATTCCGACATCGTAGGTAATTCCGTCACTTCTCTAGTTTTTCCTTTATATTAAGCTTTGTTTTAGTTCCATGCATTCATTGATGGTTGAAATGGTGACGTCATACATTTGCGTGTCTTTTTTTTATAGATATTAAAAATTTAGGCTCTATGACTTGTATACTATGTCTATCACAGTCTATAGGATTCAAATTGCATGCATTCAAATTCAAATTAGGTCCACCCACACCCCACGGCCAGTGTAGCTGTAGCTGTCAGCTCGCTCAGAAGTGTGAAAGCTGGTGAAGGGTGAAGGTGTGTTTTACGATCGGTCCATAAAGAAGTGTTGATCGGTTCAAAATGACATAAGAACAGGTTCTTTTGAATAACCTATGGATTGGCACCATGCCGGTGGATGTAGTAAGACTTAAAGGTCTCTTCAAACCTAGAATTCTACAATGGGGCCCACCCCCGGCCCAGCCCCAGGGCCCTGGCCCCCTAAACCACCCTTTCACATTTCAACCAATTTTAAAATCACTTAATTTCAATGAGTTATGAGAGGGTAGTACTATAACTCTTCAAAGAGTTATAAATTTATTCAATATGAATTTAACTGGATAACTTTTTATCCAGCTTGTTAACTTAAATATTAGTCTATATATGAACTGATAAGGAGAATGAATGATCCTGTTTCAGCCTTTCAGTTCTTCTGATCCAACAGATCCTTGCATTTGTTCAGATAATCAGACGTATAGCTAATCTCTCAAATTTCAACCTGAATTATTCAAATAATATTAGCATGCAATTCAAAGTTTGAAAATGTATGCTCCAATTAGTACAATACTTCGGTACAAAACTTACCATATAATTGTACTTTCAAGGCCCATATCGACAGCAAATTTTTGCTACACCATAACACAAATCAGTCAGCAGTTCTGACAAAATCTAACACCAAGACGAAGAAATCATGGACGCACAGCACGTTCGAAAAACTTAAGAATTTGATGTGAAGAATATACTAGTATTTTTTTGAATGAATGAAATATAAAAAAATTGGCAAAAAATATACAATTACAAACAATAAAACCATTTTATTTTCCAAAAGTGTTGGGTCAAAATTAAATTGATGTTATATAGATGGCTGCAGACTTCAGTGGAATATTCATCTTTATTCGGTCGTGAGCATTTGAAAAAATAAAAAAAAACATAGCAAATAGAGCTTTTATACTTGTATTTAGAATAATTTAATTCAGGTTCGATTTATTTTGTGCTTGAGGTTTCTAGGTTTAATAAATTTTTATGAACATTCTCTCTATTTCAGCATCTGCCGTCGGTCAATTCTCTAGCCGGTTTGTCGTACATTATTAGCTAGATATTTATAAGAGATACTAAATATCTGTAGCAATTTATAATCAAAATTATGAACATGCGAGTCGAAAAAACTTCATTAAACCATGAATAACTCATATCTGCATTGGCAAACTCATATCTATCGCTCTTATTCGCCAGTGATTTCTCTTGGGATCCACACAATGGGTCCATGTACTAGCGAGAAATTGTATTTTCAATCTTTTCTCATCCTTCTTTTCTTATTGAAATGTTAATTTATCCTTCTACAGTATAGGCATTGTTAAGGAAAAACGAGAGTTTAAGCACTTTACCACCATTGAGTAACTTGTGCCGCCACCCTTTCTTTATATGTTTTCAAGGTATTTCTAGGGTCCATTATAAAAAAAAAAATGATTGATAAGTCCAGCAGCAGAATGTAAGCCCGCAGCTGAAAAACAAATTGAACCCAATAAAAGGGTTCAGTAAGCTCACGATTACACGATTACAAGTCTATGATTTAACGAGTGTCGCTTTAATTTTCGGCCACTTCTCCTGTATCCTGCAGCATGAAGAATTCGATACACAGCAGTACTGCGCACTCGATACCCCTGGTCTCTGAAATAGACTTTCATCGTTCAATTTGTTCCCATAGGGAACTCGAGTCCAGACTAGAATGATTTCTTCGAGAAAACGCTTATGATTTGGCTGCTGGAGTCCAACTTAGGAACGTTTAAACGGTCATTACGCACAAAATTAGCTTGTTTTGCATCACGGTTCCAAGCATCTATTTGCATGTAAACTTCAATGATATAGGAAATAAATAATTTCTCCACCCAGATACCTTTCATATTGGAATAGCATGCATAAATGGGCAGTATCGAGTATATTTATATATCATAAAAACTTGCATAACGGAATGCTCGATCATGAAACAATTTAAGCGTGCCCGATACGAAAGCGATTATTTGGTTTGAACTTTTCGTGAACGAGCATATAATATACAGGAAAATATGTCATCAATAAGTTTTTTCTAAGTTATTCAAGTGAATACCAGGTTAAACCTAAGATAATTTAAATTATGCACTTCAAGTTTACGAATTCTAAAGAGAAGTGTTGTAAATATACATGCAGAAAATTACGTCGGATTTTAAAATTATCTTCCACTCATCAAACTTTCTCACACCCCCGTTCCTCTTTTCCACGACGATAACACAAGTCTTTTGCAAGACCTTGATTTTCCAGGAGGTTATCGGAGACCTTACGCATATATGAGGCTTATGGAGTTTTTCATTATAATTCGAATGAATATACAAATAAAATAATTTAATGCATTTGTACATTTGATCCCGATTTTTACCAAAAGGAACCAAAGTAACGAAACCAGCAGCATTTGAGGATAGCATGTTAGAAGAGACGTACGTGTTTCTGCGCATCTCGTCCCACAACTGCTAATATGATTGTTCCTTGTGCTGCAATCGAAGTGTAGCGAGGTTTGCGCTCCTGCGGCGTCTATGATAATGAACTCTAATTCAATTTGTTTGGCCACTTCCGTGTGGGATTTTCGTCAGCTGACGGTTTTTTTCTCGCGGCGGTCCAACAAATTTCACATGTGAACACTCCGTGTATTTGTCGAGGGTTTCAAACTAAGATACTCGCATTAAAGCTTAGGATATTCGACAAAACGATAATGAAAATATTATGATAGATGCTAAAGTTTAAGAATTTTATCCGTAATTAAAATTACCCAATAGAATTTCGATGAATAATATTCTTCATGTTTCGTGATTTTATCAATAAGATACTCGCATTAATATTCAGTGTTAATTAATATTCAAAAATGAAAATATTATGATTGATCTTTAAGTTGAAGAATTTGATCCGTACTTAAGAATTTCCAATACAGATAGATAATAATAGTCTTCGGGTCTTGCGATTTTTTCAATAAGTTCTTGCACTGCATCATCCACAACAATAACACATTAAAGTGAGCATTTCCTTCCGGTGATTGACGGAATGCCGATTATCTCAATTCTAACATATTAAATCTGAATAGTTATTATAGTTGAATTTCGAGATTTTGGAAGATATTTCGATATCTCAGCATACTAATTAGGAATAAACGATTTTATTCTTAAACTTACATAACGTGACGCCGAAACCAAATTGTCATGTACACGCCTTATTTAGGATTAAAGAAAATAAAGATAAATCAAGTATTTGCTATCCAGCAAACTGAGGACTTTTTATCTGCATTCGTTCAGATTTGTAGGCATCCTGAATAAATTTTTTAATTGAAAGATTTTAATTAGTAGGGTAACATGGGGCAGCGAGCCCACTGCGGGTCACGGGCCCATAGCGGGTTTCTCGCTAAGTATGGCAGATATTGGTCCGTGTTCTCTACCGCCGGTCGACAGTTTCACTGGGATGAAGTGTACGGATTTACGTTTTGCTAAGTGTGTGCGTTATTAAGTTCTTTGCGAATAACTGTTTTAGTCCAGATAAAAATTTTTTTGCCGCTAAATAAAGTTTTTTTTCCATTACTATAGATGAAGATTTCGAAATTAATTTGAATTATTTTTTCAAAGTAATATTTATAGGGATAATTTTGAGACCAAGTTTAGACTATTAGCTTTTAAAATAAAATGTTGACACGATATAAATTTAAATGATACCTAGTGGGGCAACGGGCCCACGCGTGTCACGGGGCAAAGCGCCCATGGTGAAGTCTTGTGTTATACATCATTAGATTTGTCTCAATGACCTATTCAAACTATGACTAGCTTTTTGAATTACAAATTACACTTCATATTGCATGATTTTTTTATTTGCCGCCTCAAGGCAGCAGGTTTAGTTTCTAGTTATGCGTATTTATGACCACTTTTCGAGTTATTGACTCTTGCCTTGCCAAAAGTTTATTTCAGTCAACACCAATGAGCCAAAAGTTTATGAGAGTTTTTATGTTATGAGTGTTGGCTGAAATCACGATTAGGTCCGAATTCTCTGCACATATCTGGATAATGGACGAAACTGGAACGAAGTTTTTTTCTGATCAACTAAATATATTTTTTTAGTCAAGGATACATTTTGTCATGTCAAGACGAATTTTTTATCGCAAAGATATCTTTTTCAAGTCAAGGATATATAATGTTATGTTAATGAAATATTTTTCTTCACGTCAGTGATAGATTTTTTAAGCCAAGAGTATATTTTTTTCATGTTATGGATATGATTTTTGAGTTGTTAATAAATGAATGAATGTCATATTTTTTATTAAATTTTTCTTATCTTTAACTGTAAAGTGTTGTTTTATCATTTTTAAACGAAAAATATGCAATTGTGGTAAAGGGACCAAGGTTAAACAAAACAAAGAACCACCTCGTATCAATTAAAACTTCATCAAAAATTTAGTTTAAAAAAAGTGGGGGGCGCGCTGCCCCACGTTGCCCTATTAATGAGAATATACCAGATTTGGGTTTTCTATGAATATTGATAGAGATCTATCTGTATGAATGCTCAAGTTTGAGCTTGAGTCCCAGTTAGAATTTATGCGTTGTTTTAAAAATTTATACGTTGTTTTCTGGACTAAAAATTTTGTACAAAAATTTCACACGTTCCAAACATTTTATAATCGTTTTCAAAAAATAAAAATGCAGGCATTTTCTATAAACCTTATTTACTTCTGTCAGTCTCGTTCAAAGCATTTCACACACTTTTACATTTCATTTTCCAATCAGTACATAGAACACATACCAAAATAATTTTTTGCACTCCCCATTCAATTTCACACATGTTCTGTTCATTTGCACTCATTCAACCGGGGGTTAATATTAAAAAAATTGTAAATAATTTCAAATGGAATGAAAAAATAAAATTCCTATAGATTTCAACCCGGGAGTTAAATAGGGATTTTGACATTCTACGTCAGCAAGTGGAGATCAATTCATGTAAAGCATTTTATGCCAGGCCAATTTAAAATTATTTGTGGTTTGAAGAGTGTGTATTCACGACAACCAAGAATTTACAGGAGATATCTAAATTTAATCTAAGTGATGCTTGAATGCATTTGATTATATCAAAATACAAAAAGCAAAAGAGTATTGAAGCTCATGGCTTTGCTCATAGAATGTCTCTAACATCAGAGATACTATAGCCACTATAACTAAAGGAGCTTCTTGACAGACTGGACGAATCGAGTTAGGAGAGCTCGCTACGCCGCTGCAAAACCTGCAGAATCACAAGGAGGTGCCACTGTAATGCTCAGTTCGTATATACCACTGAGGGACTTACTGAGAATCTGAAGAAGCTGCAACATCTGAAGTCAATATGGTTGACTCACGTTAAAGTTAATAATGGTTGGCTTGAGTTGAGGAGTGCTAGTCAATTAGAACAAAACAGAAACGCAGAAACCACCACAGCAATATATATTTTAATTTCAAAAAGTTCACACAACGACCTATCGAAATTGTACCATGAAACTGGGTGAGTTGAATTTCGATGCACCATGATCAAAAATTTAATATCATTAAAATTATTTGATGCACTAAAATTCTGAAGTGCAGGTGAGGAAGTTGCAGTCATATGGTTTTAGTTGCTCATATGATATATAACTAATGACTATCTATCCCCCAGCTAC